GGGCCGCGAGGAGGGCGTCTCGGCGCCCGCGCCGTCGTGGGCGCGCCGGGCTTCCTGCGCCACCTTCCGCGTCGGAAGAAAACGTGTCGCCACGCCGGGCCACACGGTCCCCCTCGCGCCGCCGCCGTCCGCGGCCCCGGCTCTCGTTCCGGCGGTGGGGATGAAAAGGGGGGCGGACGCCCGGGGAGCGCTCGCGGCGGACGCGGGGCTTGAACCTGCGCGGCGGCGGCGCCGCGTCCCGCCCGCGTCCGGCCCGCTGCACCACGCCGGCTTCTGCTGAGCGGCGTGCGGCGCGCTGGCTAAGAATAGGGATGAGGGTCCGCGCTGGGCTCCGCGCCCTGGCCGCGGCCGTCCCGAACCTGCTCCCTCGCTTCTGCATTCGGGCGCTCCGCGTGCGCTGGCAGGCCAAGGCGAAGACTGAGCGTGAGCCGAGCGGGGTTGCGCCGCGTTGGGCCGGGCTTCTGCCTGCACCAGGCGCTGCTCGGGTGCAGACGAGACAGCGGTGGGCTTTTAGGAGAAAGTAGCGATCCCACAAGGACTTGAAGTGTTAGTATCCCACGAGGGAACGCGAGTGTTGGGTCCTTCGGGGAGTTTACCTTCTCCTGCAGAAGACAGCCAGCGTGTGAGCAAATAGGCCAGGAAGTTCCAGGTTCTGGGGCACCTACTAAAGAAATCAAGGAGTTGTAGCAATGTTTGGTAGGAATTCGGAATAGGGTTTTAAAGAAGGGTGTGTGTAGCGGGGAGCTATCCGTCCTTGGCGGGGTGGTATAGCTTCTGAAAAGTGCGTGGCGGCCCAGCACGGAAGCGGCTGAGGCAGGAGGATCACCAGCCTGGACGACATAGTGAGTTCAGGGACATCCTGCAGGAGAACTCAAGACTCCTGTTCAGATAGCAAACTCAAAAGAGCTCAGGGGAAGTAGACGATTAACAGAGGTCGGGAGGTGGGTGGAGGCTTGGCTGGTTGGAGGCCCTGCAAATGAGACTGGCAGCTGCTGGGAGCATTGAAGGCGGAAAGAGGGCTGGAATTTTTTTTTTTTTTTTTTTTCAGAGTTGCAGGTCAAGATTTATATATTGAGTTTTCTTTTTTTTATTTGGTAGGTCAAGATTTATCTGTGGGGTGTAAAATGAACCTAGGGAGGCTGTCACGAGCACCCACCCCAGGCTTTGGCACTGAGCTGTGTCCCCGGGCCTTTTTCGATTTATTTTCTTTAATTTTTCAGGTAGGCTCCAAGATGCCAAAGTCTGGGCCAGGTCTGAGCTTGTGACTCCCCTACTCAGCCTCCCAAGTGCCTGGATCACAGGTGTGCACCCAGCGGACATTGTTATTTGGAGGGAAGGAGGGTAGAAAAGGTCGTTGCTTCACACGTACTGGAGACACTAATGGGTGTGCCGGGCCTTGTTTCAGTTGCATAGTTGTGTGTGTTCTGGGCCATTTATCTGTTGCTTCCTGTGGACCTTAGTCTGAAAACTGGGAAAGCCACCAAGTAGGATCATGTCTGAGAGGCTGGGGGAGGCATCCTGTCAGCTGTGGTCGCCAGGGCGGGGAGCTGCAGCCCTGTGAGAAGGCTTGAGAGGCTCTCCTCCTGTCCCTGGCTAGGCCTGTCCTGTAGCAGAGGCCTGCAAGCAGGGCCAAGCAGCAGCTGGAGGGATCGGCCACTGCGTAGTGCAGTGGTCTGTGTTCCTCTTACCTAGAGTCCCCAGTCAGTTGGTACAGAGCCAGCTGCAGGGAGCGTAGGTGCTGGCATGCGCAGGTCTTGGAACTCGGCAGCCCACGGCCTGTGTGCTGCCCGCCGCCCCCCCTCCCCTGCTCCCGTTTCCCCCCCCCCCCCCCCCGCAGGTGCACTGTCCACTTGAGAGCCCTGGCGGTCACCCAGCCTCATCAGGCACTGCGGGATGCCCCCCCATCTTCCTCGAGGTGCACTGATTCAGAGAAGTGCATACCGCAGGCTTGTGTGCCAGGCACTGGGGACACCACAAGGGACCTGCGTGCAGCTAGCAGCCTGGTGGCACAGAGGGCATAAACTGTGCCCTGGAGAAAACCAAAGCAGAGAAGGGAGTGGGGCCGTTTGTGGTTCTGAGTAGATGGGACAGGGATGGTTCAGGGTGGGGGACATTCTGAAAGAGGTGAGCAGGGAGCCCAGAGGCTGGTTGGGAGGAGAGAGGAGGTCTGGGGCACAGGGGTGCAGGCTGGGAGGCTCTTGGGACCCTAGGGGCTGGCCCTGGGCTACGCACGGAGCCTTGCGCAGGGTGGTAGGTCTGCCTCAGTACCAAGGAGCCACTGGCTGTGGGCTCAGGTGGTGACTGCCAGGGAAGGACAGAAGCAGAGACCAGCTGTCGCAGTGACCTAGGCCTGAGTTGGAGCTGGCTAGTGCATGGCCAGGCTGGTGCATGGCTCGCCGTGGAAGGTAAAGGGACAGGGTTTGCTGGTGTGGGAGAAGACAGCACTGAGGACACACCTTGGTTTTGCCCTGAGCAGTCTCAGGTGCAGAACTGCTGTCCCCCACAGGGGCCAGCAGGCTTCGCCACTGGTTCTTGCAGGAATGCTTCCTTCGCCACTGGTTCTTGCAGGAATGCTTCCTGTTGCCTGAGTTCCCCCTCCCTTCCTGGCTATGCACTTCAGGCTGGCCTGAGCTCACTTTGTAGCTCAGGCTGGTCTTGAACTCTCAACGATCCTCTTGCCTCAGCTTCCCGAGTGCTGGGATTGCAGGTGTGTGCCACCTATTACATATTTTGGTCTCATTGACCCTTTTGGTTTCTCACAATGTGACATTTACACATGTGTGTCTGAGTTATTTCACTTTACGAATGTGGTTTCTGTTTGCCTGTAAAAGCCTTGAGTCTTTCTTTATAGGTGAGTAGTATACCATTGTATAAAAATACCACGTCTTTTTTTATCTATTCCTTAGGTGATGGACATTTGGGTTGTTAAGCTTTAGCTATGCCAGGTTGTGCTGCTGTACACATGCGTGCACATATATTGCTGTTAGGATGTTTTCAGTTCTTCTGGGACGATACCCAGGAGGTGACTAGCTGGGTTCCACAGTGGTTGCCCCAGTCTACACTCTCACCACCAGTGGAGAAGGGTCTCTCCAGCATTTTGCTGTATGTTATTGTTATGAGTTGGTGAAGACCCGATACATAGAGGGCCAGAGGTCTCACCGAGATTCGTCTCTCTCCAAGTGAGCCCAGAGCCTCAGGAGCATCTCACATTTACTGAGGGCTAAAGGCAGGCTAAGGAATGTGCATAGAACACAAACTACTTTCTGTCGACTTCTACCATTTGCCTGACACTAAGTTTACCATAATGCTTGTGAACTGGGAATTGAACTCAGGCCCTTGCACTTGCCAGGGAAGTGCTTATTCTACTGAGCCATCTCTCTGACCCTGACATTAGGCTTTTGTTTCATATCCATATTTCTATACATTTGTTACTGGTTGATTTCTTAGTAATTGCCATTCCTTCTGGAGATGGAATCTCAGCATTTTAATTTGCATTTCTCAAATGACCAGTTCTGTGAAACATTTTGTCATGTATTTTTTTGCTGTTTATATTTCTTCTTTTGAGAAGTGTGTATTCATCTCACAGGCCCATTTTTGGATTTGGTCTTTAAATTTGGTATATCTAATTTTTTTCAGTTCTTTGTGTGTTCTAGGTATTAGTCCTTAGTCTGAGGAGCAAGTGGCTAAAAATTTTTCCCACTCTGTGTGTTGTCTTTTCACTCTGTCGGTGATTTCTTTTGTTGAGCAAAAGCTTTTTAATAGTTGTGGATTTTTTGTAGTTTTCCCATGTAGTTATTGGTCATGAAATCTTTGCCTATACCTGTGTCTTCAAGTGTTCTACCTGTTCTCTCGAACTGCAGATATAGTGTTTCTGTTTTAATATTTTTTTTAATTTTATTTATTTATTTATGTGTGTGTGTGTGTGTGTGTGTGTGTGTGTGTGGCCAGCTCAGCCCACCAGGGGGCGGGGCTGGCTGGCATGTGGTGCTGGGGATTGAACCATGGTCCCTGTGCTTTTTTGCTAAGCTTGTTCTAAGTAGGTGCTTTAGACCACTGAGCCATCTCACCAGCCCCTCTGTTTTAATATTTAGATCTTTGATCCATTTTGACTTTAGCACATGGTGATAGATATGGGTATAGTTTTAGTCTTTGGTCTGGAAAACCAGTTTTTCCAGCATTATTTATTTATTTTTGTCTCATTCTGCAGCTCAGGCTGGCCTTGAGTTCACTTTGTGGCCTGGGCTGGGCTCAAACTCAACAGTCACCCTGCCTCAGCCTCCTGAGTACTGGGACCACGGCATGTGCCACCATGCCCAGCTCTCGCACCCTTTATTGAAGAGGTTGTCTTTCTTGTAGTGAAGGTGTTTGGCTCCTTTGTTAAAGATAGGTGGTTGGCCAGAGTTGCAGCTCACTGGCCTAAGTGCCTGCCTGGCCAGGGTCCTGAGTTTGATTCCCAGTACAAAACAAAACAAAACAAAACAAAGATAAGGTGGCTGAGTGTGCTTAGAGTTGTTTCTGCGTCTTCTAATCAGTTCTGTAGATCCTCCGTCTGTTTTTTGTTTTTTTGCTAAAACCATGCCGGTTTTGTCTTGGAAGTTTTGTAGTATAATTTCAAGTTAGGGATTGTGATGCCCCCTGCCTTGCCTTTGGTGCCCAGGATTGCCTTTGCTATTCTAGGTCTCTTCTGGTTCCAAATCAATTTTAGGAATTTTTTTCTCCAGATCTATGAGGTATGCCATTGGCATTTTGACTGGGGTTGCATTAAATCTGTAACAGTTTATTATGTTTTTTCTATTCATGAGCAAGGGATATATTTCCTTTTTCTAATATCCTCTTCAGTCTTTTTCAGAGTACTGTAATTTTCAATGTAGAGATCTTTTACTCCCTTTGTTGATTCCTAATTACTTCATTTCTTCGATGCTGTTGTGATGTGTGATGTTTCTCTGATTTGCCTCTCTGCATTATTGTTGTGTTCAGGAATGCTGTTGATTTTTGAATGTTGACTTACATCCATCTGTGCTACTGAATCTGGTTATTAAGTCTGCAAGTCTTTTGGTAGTTTTGGGAGTCTTCTATGTACAGTATCTTGTCATGACAAATAATGATAATTTATATTATTTTTTTTTTTGGCGGAACCCGGGATTGAACTCAGACCCTGGCGCTTGCTAGGGAAGCGCTTATTCCACTGAGCCATCTCCCCGGCCCAATAATGATAATTTAACTTCGCTTTCCTGTCCTTACTCCTTTTGTTTCTTCTTCGTGTCTCATTGTTGCGGCTAATGTTTCTGGAACAATTGAACAGGAGTGGTGGCACTGGCCCCTGTGCCTCGGTCCTGATTGCAGAGTGGAGCATTCAGGTTTTGTTCCACTTAGTATGACACTGGCTGTTCTTTGCCTTCGGTGGCTTTTATCAGATTGAGATGAAGACCATCTATTCGTGTGTCTATAGGGTTTTTTCATGGATGAGTGTTGGACTTCATCAAATGCTTCTTCCATGCCTAGAGCTGGGTTTGAAGTTCAGTGTATTGTCTTGTTTGCTCTGTGACTCTGGATAAACACATCAAGTGTTCGGTTCTTGGCTTCTGGCTTGTACAGTCAGAACAGCGGAACACTGATGCTGCTTCATGGAGTGGTTACGTTACCATGGGAGAGAAAGGGTCAAGAATAGGCTTTAGACCAACAACATGGAAGAGTTTCTGCTAAAGTCAGCTTGAAAATCAGGTACCAGGGCAGAGGCCCCTGAAGGCCATGGGCCATCTTCCCCCGTGGCATCTAGCTCTTCAAGCTTCCCTGTGGCTGGCACCTTGAGTGTTGTCCTGGTCGCTGGGGACCCGCTGGCCTCCCTTCCCTGGCCTGGCTGAGGATTATTGATGACTTATGAGAGGTCAGGAGCCCTGTCTCCTAGAGGCACTGCCCACCTGTTCTTGGTCATGCCTGCCCTTCTCCCTCCTCCTCGGTATGTGTGCCAGAGGGTATGTTTTTGGCTGTCCACTGCAGCCTCCACTACCAGACATGCAGAGAGGACTGTGTGTTTGTCTGGGCTTCTCCCTCGGTGCTGGGCCTGGCAGCACAGGCGGCCTGACAGTGGTAGTGACTTGCTGACGGTCTCCCTTGCAGATCGAGCGTGAGGACTGCGCAGCTGGCTTCCCCTAGTATGGCCAATGAAGAGGATGACCCAGTCGTACAGGAGGTAACTGCCGCGTCCCCAGGCCGTCTGGGACCTGGTGCTGTCTGTCCCAGAGACTCCTGGTCTTTACTGTGCCCTTTGCCTGGAGCCTGCTGTTGCCACCCCCGAGACCTGTGTGGGCAGCCCCTCCACCCCTGAGACCTCCGTGGGCAGCCTCTCCACCCCCGAGACCTGCATGGGCAGCCCCTCCACCCCCGAGACCTGTGTGGGCAGCCCCTTCACCCCCAAGACCTGCATGGGCAGCCCCTCCTCCCCCAAGACCTGTGTGGGCAGCCCCTCCACCCCCGAGACCTGCATGGGCAGCCCCTCCACCCCCGAGACCTGTGTGGGCAGCCTAGGACCACCTCCGAGACCTGTGTGGGCAGCCCCTCCATCCCAGAGACCTGCGTGGGCAGCCCCTCCAGCCCCGAGACCTGTGTGGGCAGCCCCTCCACCCCCGAGACCTGTGTGGGCAGCCCCTCCACCCCCGAGACCTGTGTGGGCAGCCCAGGACCACCTCTGAGACCTGTGTGGGCAGCCCCTCCACCCCTGAGACCTGCGTGGGCAGCCCCTCCACCCCTGAGACCTGCGTGGGCAACCCAAGACCACCTGTCACTGCGGCCCTCCCTGACCAGCCCTGAGCTCGACTGAGTCTGTTCACCCTCCAAGGCCCAGTTGTAGTATGTAGCGCTGAATAGATCCTCGGTGGCCACTGAATGAATGGATGGGTTGGCAGCCCCGTCCTGGGCTTACCAGGCTCAGCCACGCAGCAGCTCTTCTGCTCTGTGGGGTGCTGTGACACAACAGTGAACCGGGCCAAGTCCCTGTCCCTGGAGAGCTCGCAGAGCTGGGACCAGCAGGGAAAGAGGCTCGGGGTGCAGCTGGGTGGAGCTTCCAGAACTGCCCGGAGAAGGGAAAGTTTTTCACAGACAGACACACCTGGCTGAATTCTTTCAACCCAGCACTTAGGTCTTTAGAAATAAAAAAGGAAAAAGTAACCACACCAATCCCAGGCTTCCCAGTTTGTGCCTGGAGCCTCAGCTCTGGTGTAAAAGGCAGGGGCTGGGAGGAGGGCCTCAGTTGTGACCAGAGGAGCCTGTTAGGTTTGGGGGTGCTGCTGACTCGGGGTTTGTATTTGAGTTATTTAAATGCCTTTAAGTGGCAGCAACCCTGCTGGAGTAGGAGTTACAGTACAAATGGTGGTGATCAGGATGGTGCAGAGGGAGCCCCGGGGTTCAGAAGCACCCAGGAGAGGCCAAAGGGCATTTGAGGTGCAGGAAGGCCCTGGGGTTGGGGAGAGCACAGTTGGCAAGGTCTGGAAAATGGCTGCAGGGGGGAGTAGGTGTGAGGAAGAGAGGTGGGTCACAAAGGGCCTTAGCCCAGGGCCCCAGGCCGATCTAGGAGAGGGCTGTGGGAGGCACAGAGGAACCCAGGGGGAGGTGGCCCTGTCCGGCTGACTCTCAGCATTTACTCAGGCTCCGGGCAGGGTTCTTACTGGCTGGAATGACCTTGCCCTGGTCCCCTGGGAGCCATGGGAGGAGGTCTGGGTAGATGTGGTCTGGAGCGCCGAGTCCCTCGGTCTTTACCATGAGAGGACCGTCTGTCCGCCCCCTCATCCCCCACCTCCCTGAGCCCCTGTGCCCACTGCAGTTGGAATAGTTTGCATGCCAAGTGGGCAGAGCCGTGTCGCGTGTCCGGGCTGAGCCTCCTCCTCTTGTTCCCAGATCGACGTGTACTTGGCCAAGAGTCTGGCAGAGAAGCTCTATCTGTTTCAGGTAATCACAGGACTTGATGGTAAAGGGGAAAGGTCGTGGGGTGGAGCTGGGGAAGGAGACCTGGGCACTTGGTGCTCTGGGTTCCAGGGGAGATGAGCTAGTTGCTTCAAGTCCGGGCAGGTTAATGACCATTTTCCAAGATGGGCACACACAGGAGGCAGAGTCATGCTGTGGTTACGCTCAGGCTTGGGGAGACACAGCAGCCCTCAGGGAAGCTCTGTAATCGCCCCGGGCCTTAGCTTCCACATTGGCATGGGTGATGGCCCATGCCTGTCTCATGGGGTCCACGTTAAAGTAATGTCGGCACTGACCCTGGCCCTGCTGTTGAGAGGCCTCTGGAGCAGCTCTGGGACAGTCACCCAGCCTCGGTGCTGACAGCTGCGGGTCTGCTTGCCGGGCGGGGTGTGTGTGGCAGCTCACCGTGTGCAGGCGCTGTTAGGTGAGCTCACTGAATCTGACAGTGACCCTCCGTGGTGGCTGTGGTGTTCTTCCAGCAGCTTTATTGAGACCTCGCTCATGCACTGTGCAACTCTCCCGATTTCAGTCTGCCTGCGGGCTGTGCAGCCAACACCACAGTTGATTTCTGTACATCTCTGGCCCGCCCGCCCCAGCATGAAGGCACATGGTCTTGCAGCAGCTGCAGTCCTGGTACTGCACTGCCAGCCCCGCCAGGCTGTTCCTGCCCAGAGCCGCCCGTGGTTGCAGCCGGGAAGCAGGGAGGAGTCCTTGCTGCATTGAGACAGCTTTTAGGAAGTGATGGCTTCCTTGGCTGGAGCTAGCTGGCCTGACACTGCCTGGAAGGTAGCCCTTGCCCCCGGGGCCTGCGCTCCCTCCACCAGGCTGCTGTGGAGGCGGCACCAGGCAGCGGCGGACAGAGCTTTAGGGTGGTCTAATCGTGCATGAGAGTCCGTGAGGAAGTGTCCAGCAAAGCTGTACAAGAAGGTGGCCTGGAGGGCCAGGAGCAGGTCACTGTTGCCTCTTGCTGTCTCTCCGGTCAGTGCTATGCTTAGGAAAGTTTGCAGCATACAGAAGATGGGAGAATGGGGTCATGAATTTTCCATGTCGTAGTGCAGCCGTGAGTGCTTGGTGGCCTCATTCCTTGTGTCTCCTCAAGGCCTGTGTGCAGACTGCAGGCCTGAGCGCCCTCCTGTTGGCTCCCGCCCCTCAGCTCTGGGTTGTTCGAGCTCCTGCTGCTTGGCCCTGTCCCTCAGAGTTACAGCAACACCCTGACATTGTAGACACGCCTTCAGAACACCCTCTTGGGGGAGGCTGAGAGGACCCAATGTGTATAAAACTGCAGCTGAGATGGGGAGCCACAGGGAAGTAGACTTGCAGGCGCAGGCTCTGTGCCTTGGAGTTGGCCATGGCTTATGGATATTCTTGGCTGGTACCTGTACGACCAGCTCCATTTGGTGCTGGGCTGGGCAAACTCATGACTGTGCTTCTCCCCAGTACCCTGTGCGTCCTGCTTCGATGACCTACGACGACATTGCGCACCTCTCGGCCAAGATCAAGCCCAAGCAGCAGAAGGTGGGTTGTCCTTGGGGGCAGGGAGAACTGCTGGAGCCAGAGACCTTGGAGTCCCACAGCAGGAAGGGTTTCCCGAAGAGCAGCTCTGGCAGGGAACAGGGCTTGGAATGAGGGGAAAACGGTCCTACAGGAGCTTGGAGTCCTAGGGTAGGACGGGGGCAAGGGATTGGTGTAAGGAGAATCTAGTGCCAGGGGCGGGGTGGCCACAGCTCTGCCCTGTGGTCGTGTAGCGAGGCTGTCCTGGACTGCCGGACTTGCTGAGTTTTCAAGTGAAACTGGAGGTAAGGACGTTCATGAGAGAGCTCCCAGTCTTTAAATCTTGGTACCTTATTCAGGTCTTTGGCAGTGGAGTGGGTGGACAGATACAACTGCATGTCCACCCCCAAAATAAGTACTCCGCTCTGTCTGTTGGAATGTGGATTCGCGGCTACGGTGTGAACTGAAGCACAGGGTCCTTGTGAAGAGACTTGTGTTAGTCTTGCTTCTGGGCGGGGCCGGGGCCAGGATGTCCCTGGAGACCTGGGCCTTAGGATCCTCCGCGGGTGGGGGTGCGTGGTGCCTCCAGGTGGAGATCGAGATGGCCATCGACACCCTGAATCCCAACTACTGCCGCAGCAAAGGGGAGCAGATCGCACTGAACGTGGATGGCGCTTGCGCAGACGAGACCAGCACATACTCCTCGTGAGTCCTGATCCCAACACGACTGTGCTCAAGCAGAGTCTTCAGAAGGCTCCGGAGACTCAGGCCCGTGGGTGTCTTCGCTCTGCGTAGTGTGGCTTGCCGCATCCCAGCTCCCTCAGCTTGCTCCTCCTGCTGGGCTCTGACGGGCTGCAGGGACGCCAGCCCCTGTGCTCCTGCCTGAGGTGGATGCAAGCAGGCTTGTGGCCTTGATTGCTGGCTGGCACGTTTTTGTGTCCAGGCCGGAGTACATTGCCCCGCAGGGCCTGGTCCTGGGCTTCCTTCCTCCTGACCTGGGTTCTCCTTGTGCTCCCAGGAAGCTGATGGACAAGCAGACTTTCTGCTCTTCCCAGACTACCAGCAACACGTCCCGCTACGCAGCTGCGCTCTACAGGCAAGGTACCGGGTGCTGGGCGTCTGGGGCACGCCGGGGAGGCGGGGCACGCCGGGGAGAGGGGCCGGGGAGGTGGGGCGCGTGGGGGTGGGGCCAGGGGCAGGACACGCAGGGGAGGGGGGGGGGGGGGGGGGGGGGGGGGGGGAGGGTGGGGGGGGGGGGGCCGGGGGGGGGGGGGCCGGGGGCGGGGCACGCAGGGGAGAAGGGCGGGGAGGTGGGGCGCGTGGGGGCGGGGCCGGGGCGGCCCGATAGCCTTGCTAGTTTTCCAGGCCAGAGTTCATCTCTGCCTTGCGGAACCCAGGGCCGCTGCAGGCTCGAGGCAGAGCGTAGGGGCTGGGTTACAGTTGTTGGGGCACGAGAAGGAGCTGCTGCTTGGGATTCTGACAGGGTCATTTTCCTCTTGGGACACAGACAACGTGTGCGGGGCAAGTGGCAGCATGTCACCTTTGAAGACATGGTTCTGAGGACTCAGAAAGAGGGAGATGTGTCCACCTAAAAGCTCGTTTCACGATGTCTGTAGGGTCGTTATTAGTGGAGCCCCAAAGCAGAAATAGCCCCAGGGGTCCACCTTCTGTGGTCTAGGCTGTGCGGGGGAGGGAAGTGCTGGCCTGCCTGCCACATAGGCGAGGCTCCTCCGTGAAATGACGTGGAAAGGGGGTTGGTGGTTTCCACATTGAGGGGAGAGCTAAGAGGGTTCTGACCGGTTGTGCGGAGGATGAAAGTGCCCTCAAACGCACCTCATGAATGTGTTAAAATAGCTGGGCACGGAAGCACTAGGGAGGCCGAGGCAGGAGGGTCTGGAGTTCGAGATTAACCTGGGCTACAAAGTCAGCTCAAGGCCAGCCTCAACTGAATAGTGAGACCCTGTCTCATAAAAATAAAGTAAAATTTAAAATAATTTTTTGAATTATATGTTAAAAAATGTTAAAATATGCTGAAGTATATGCTTTAAATGGTGAGTTGTATGACATTGAGTCATAGCTCCGCTGATAAAAAGCGTGAGGTGCTTAAGTATCATAAGGCCTGTAAAGCAGTAAATGAAACTAATTTGAACACTTAGGGAACAATAGAATCAAAAATAGTGGGAAAAAAGTAGCATCAGATAGCATGGGGGCAATACTCAGAGCTGTGCCCTGAGGCCAGAGCCACATGCCTGCCACCAGGACTGGGGGAGGAAAAGTCCTGCTCCTGGTCAGAGACCCGGACTCCCAGCCCTCGGGCCCTGCCGGGGACTTCTGAATGGGATGGGCAGGGATTTAATAAGAGCTGGGGGAGGGAGGAGAAAGCTGGGAGGGTGATTAGGGCGTGGCGAAATGCTGGGTGGGTGCCTGGGGTGTCTGGAGCCAGCCCTGGGGGGAGCTGGAGCCACTGCTCGAGTCTAGTCTCTGAGCAGTGGAGAGTATTAGGAAACTTTGCCGCTTTGGGTGGCAGAGTCCAGGCCCCTGGCCTGGCCTGGCTGCTCGCCTGCCGTGGCTGCTCGCCTGCCGTGGCTGCTCGCCTGTGGTATCCAGTGGGGCTAGGTAGCATGGACACGGCCTACACCAGCAGTGGCGAGCTGTTCAGAGCCTTCCGTGGTACAGACACCCTGCTGGGGCCTGCCTTAGGGTGGTCACCACTGGCTGGATATTCAGGGGCCTGTGACTCCCTGGAGCCAAGCTGCATGTCTGATCAGTTCCTGGAGGCAGATTCAGGCCCTTCTTCCTCTGCCAGGTGAGCTCCACCTGACGCCTTTGCACGGCATTCTGCAGCTGAGGCCCAGCTTCTCCTACCTGGATAAGGCTGACGCCAAGCACCGTGAGAGGGAAGCAGCCAATGAGGGTGAGTGGATCGTGAGAGCAAGTATTGGAAAGGTCAGATTTTAGGGTCCTGAGCTGCACCCAAGCCCTGCTCGCTGGTGCCAGGATGTCTGTGCCTGAGGGCAAGACTGTCTGCCTGCATGTACTGCCAAATGTCCCCTCCTGTGGAGCCCTGTGACTTAGTACAGCCAGCTGCGTCTGGGATTTGGGCTGGGAGCCGCGGGGCTGCAAAGCACACGAGCCCTCTCTTGCTTCTCTACAGCTGGGGACTCTTCTCAGGACGAGGCAGAGGAGGATGTGAAGCAGATCACGGTGAGCTGTGACCACAGGCTGAGACTAGGGGGTGGCGGGGCTGAGCAGGAGGGACTCGCTACTCAGTGACAGGCACACAGCATCCCTGGTCCCGGCTCCTCATCGTATGAACAGCAGACCCGTGCCTCTCGTGCTGAGAGGTCACCCATCTGACTGGGTCCCCCGGGGGCATCCAGGAGAGATGTTTCCACAGTCATAGGAAGCTGTGTGTGTAGCCCATGTCTGCGTATGCCAAGGACTAAGGGTGCCGCTAGCTTGCTGGGGGACCTGGAAGGCGCCCCTCTGAGTCCTGGGGTGCAGGGCCCTCATCTGATTGGCTTGCGTACATCACACCTCGAGGTTCTGTCGTCCAGGCAGGGCAGGCAGGAGAAGCTGCTCCTGGCTTGTGTTGTAGGTTCACAGAGGGGTCAGGGCCAGGAGCTGAAGAGGCAGGAGCAGGGCAGAGGCCCGATGTGTTCTGTGATTCCGCCGAGGCCCTGGCCTGAGTTGTGACTGCCCTCCCAGGTGCGGTTCTCGCGGCCAGAGTCTGAGCAGGCCCGCCAGCGCCGCGTGCAGTCCTACGAGTTCCTGCAGAAGAAGCACGCGGAAGAGCCTTGGGTCCACCTGCACTACTACGGCCTGAGGGTGAGGCCGGCTTCTGGGGCGACTTCTGTGTCCCCTTCTCGCTCACTTCCAACCCCATTATGCCAGCTGTCCTCGCGCCACCTGCTGCTCCCATCGGGTTTGAACGACTTGGGGTCCCCCGCCCCCAGTGCATCTTGGTGGGCTCCTGGGTGGCAGGCGGCCTGTGTTTGGTTATATGTTTTCCACACGCTGCAGGACCTGGTGTCCCCGTGTGTCGTCTGTCATGCACCCCCAAGTTCATGGCTCACCTGCCGGGGACTTTTGTATATGCATTTTATGGTGTGTATTGACCTTAGCTCCGAGCTGTGAAACCTGTCAGGTGAGTGCTGGCGCCTGGAGCCACCAGGGCCTCTTCAGTGAGCTGATTCCAGCAGAGCCTTCCTAGAGAAGATTAGTATTGACAGAGTGCTAGGGTCCGACGTCAGGCTCTGCTATTTTTACTGTGTGCCTTTGCTTTTGTTGGTACTGGGAACTGCTCCCGGGACCTTGGGCATGCCAGGCAGGCTCCTGTGCTGCTGAACTATATCCCAGCCCTACTATGTACTTTTTTTGTTCCTGTTTGAGACAGGGTCTTGCTGTATAGTGCTGCCTGGCCTTGCACTCGCTTGTATGACCCAGGCTGGCCTGGAACTCAGGGTGATCCTTCTGCTCAGCCTCTCTGGCTGAGGTCACAGGTGTGTGCCACCACGCCTGACAATTACTCTGTGATCTGAGCCAGTTACGTAGCCTGTCTGAGCTTCGGTCTCCTTACCAATAAATGAGAAGAATGAAAACCTTACAGTCGTTTTGTGTGTGAGATATAGTGGCGGGTGTACAGCCACCAGGGTTGAGTCTAGCCTGCCTAGGTGCTCAGGTAGTGCTAGCTATGACCTTAGGCACTGATGTCTCAGATCGTGGGGCTGGGCAGGTAGGTATGGGCCACACTGCAGACTTGGGGTGCCGTGCTGTGGTTGGACGGGGCTCTATGGCCTTGGGAGCAGGCAGGGTGCGGGGAGTGGGGCGCTGAGGCAGTGGGGCTGGATGGCTGGGCCTTGGGAGCAGGCAGGGTGCGGGGAGTGGGG